CCAAAGACTCCAGTGCATGGAAAACATACCAATGTTCCCAAAGCTACTTCAGCTTCTACTGATGGTACTAAAAGTGCTAATGCGCCTCATGATATTTCTATTAAAGCAAAGCTATTAGCTGGGTCTGCAGAAAGTGCTGAAACAGGGAAAGTACATCTGTATAAACGTAACAAGGAGGCTTCACTTCGACTACCTGATAGCATGAAGGGATATAGTTTGCCTATGGGAAAAGCAGTCACCGAGTTGCTCCCAAAGAATGTCAAGCCGATCTTGAGATCTCCTAAGAAGTCCCCTCAACTGGTTTCATTTAAGAAACATGTGACAGGACAAAATGAAAGTGCAAAAGTCTCTGGTCCGGGAATTCCAGACAACATGGAAGGCCCTTCGAACAGCTCGTCTTTGGGAAAACCAGTCATCAAGTTGCCCCCAAAGAATGCCAAGCAGATCTTGAGATCTCCTAAGAAGTCCCCTGAGTTGTATTCAACTAAGGACCAGGTGGCCGGACAGAATAAAATTGCAAAAGTCTCTGGTGCGGGGATGCCAAAAAAATGTCGAGGTGATTTTTCTAAGGACGCAGTGGGTTGTTCTGATAGAGTAAGCTCTTCTCAGTCTCAGATAGCAAATCAGACAAGCCAACCAGCTTCTGGGGAAAAACCTGCAGTCACTCGAAAAGTTGCAATTCGTTTGAATGATGCTGGAGTGTCAAGAGACACTTCTGTGAACGTGTCCACTGGCATGTATGTTTTTGTATTTCCCTATGTCATTGATATGTTCTTATCTTGCTTGGAGGTTATAGTCTTTGTGTTTTTTGTTTTTGATTATAGGATTGATGTCAATCAAGACAATGGAAGTGCCCCATTGATCAGTTCTGGGGTGCCAGATTCTTCTTCATCTATGAAGGCTCTGATTGCAGCTGCCCAAGCAAAAAGAATACAAGCACATACACATACTTCGCCTTTTGTGAATCTAGACCATAGTTTCTTTAACATCGGTGAAATGCAGACGAGGAGTCATAGCCCTTCCATGGTTCAGAATGTTTCATCTCCTGCTGGCGATGCCATGCAAATTGTTTCTCAGGGACACCAAGAAGATTTGACTCAGTCAAATCAAGGCCACCAGTCCTCATCAAGTAACCAAGCTGAGACTGACGAGAATGAAGAGAGAAGAGTTAGTTCAGAGCATAAGTCAGTTGGGGATTCACTGAATGGTGCCACTGAGGCTGCGATTTCTCGAGATGCTTTTGAGGGAATGATAGAGACCTTAAAACGAACTAAGGAAAGTATTGGACGTGCGACACGCCAGGCAATTGATTGTGCCAAGTATGGGATTGCCAGTGAGGTGAGTTAAACTGTATTACCTCA